TGGAGCTCAGCAGAAAGGTCTGAATGCAGATTTGGGAATCACTGGAGTGGGGGACAGGGAATGAAATGAGAAAAGGTAACGCCTTCTAGGAAAAACAAGTGGAAAGAGGAGAGAGTTACAGTCAGAGCATTACACCACGGCCCTTAACCTCAGCCCTCCATGGAAAATGGGGCCAGCATCTGAGGGGTAAGAGAAGGAAACAGAGTTTCACATTGTTATAATTTGATTCTTCCTAAGAGTCAACTTCTGATCTAAGTGAAGCTGGACATTACAAATCTGCAACTACACTTCCAAGTTCTCTTGTGGCTGGAATAAAAAGGACTCTCAGAAAATATCTGGCATATAAGTTAATAAGTCTTCTTAAACTGTAACCAAAAAGGGGGGCATGGGGAAGGGTCTGAGCAGAAAAGGAGGGAAAACATCACAGCATAAAGAATGTCTATCCCCATCCCTGTCCATTCCTTTGACAGTGAGGAGAATTCAACTAGACAAGAGGAAGAAAGGATTCCAAATGGCAGTGGAGGCAAACCCACTTGTGTGGTTGATAGTTTAGTTCACTTACCATCCAAGGCCAACCTGAGAGGTGATGTGTTAAATGTTCTCACCACCAAAGAAGAAACCATTTAATTTTTTTTTTTAAATAAAGGGACTGGTGGAAATTTGGGAAAGTGGTAAGTTTATGACCATTCTGGTGATGCCTTCACAAGTGTATACTTCTCTCCAAACTCATCAAGTTGTACACACTAAATGTATACAGCTGTTTGTATGCCAATTATACCTCAGCAAAGTTGTTAAACAGACAAAACAACAACAAAAAGAAGCCGACTTGAAAGACAGGATGCTATTGTGGACAAAAAGATGATTTTTTAACTCAGGTAGACCTGAGAGAGCAATTATTTCTTGTAAGGCTCAATATCTGCACTCATACCACAGGAAGAAAATCCAACCTACTGCATATGTTCATCAGGACAGTGAAGTGACAAAAGTCATTTAAATTATAGACATGCACAGAGTAAGCCTGCAAAGTGCTAGATACTAAAAGCATAATAAAGTCACTCCATTGCATTTATTCTGCATTTAGTAATAACATATTGTGGATTAGTTAGTAAAAGCTGACTGATATTTGGGAGGAGAAATTCTAACAGAGGAACTGCATTCCATTTACATTTTCTCTACGTAGACACTTCCTCTCTGTGTCCTTAGCTCTCCCACTCTGTCTTTCTCTTTGTGTCTCCCTCTCCCTCTCTCTTTTCCTTTTGCATGGTATATGTCAAATAAAGTGAATTGAAAGCCCTAAAACAAAATGTAGAACATTTTTTTTAGATGGAAAAGAATGTCGAACACATTTTACATTGATGTAGTACATTAAATTGACAAATTAACACTGAAGTATCACCAACTCTCAGAAGAGAACAGTAAAGCATTGAAGATACTAAATTTGAAATTACAAAAATGCAACATTTAGAAAATAAAACAAAAATTCTGAATTGCTTCTCAATGATATAATACAAACCTTAGCATGAACAATATGTTGTCCTTTGAAAAAGTATATTTGATTCTTTACACTCAGCCTTGGAATTATGATAGAAAATGTATTTGTTTACACAAAGGTAGAACTATAAAGTTTGAAATAATAATTTAAATGGAAAAAGTTGGTTCTCATGGCAATATTTTTATGTCTCAATTTCATAAACATGTACATTTCACTATTTGAGTAGTTTCAAGATAATTGAAAATATGACTACCATAATTGAATAAATACTTTTTCCTGACTACCCTTCTAGAAGTACAACATATGCTAGAGAGATTATACTGCCTCTAAAGAAATTGCTTACCTTTTTCAATGCAATTAAATTTTTTAATTTGCGGAAATTAATACTTTTCCTGTGAAACTGTGAAGTCCATTGGTACTCATATGGGAGTTTCCAAGGTACATGAGAGACTCAAAAAAAAGTACTATTTCATTTGTTCATACTTAGGCCAGGTCCAAGGATAGAATTAGTATGTCATCTGCGATAGACTGAGTTTTTGTGCCCCCCCCCCACCCCGCAAAGTCATATATGAAAGCCCTAAAACTCAGTGTGATGATATCAGGAGTTGGGGCCTTTGGGAGGAAAATTAGGGCTAGATGAAACCATGAGGTGTAGCCTCCATGATGGGATTAGTGCCTTTACAAGAAGAGGAAAAGACCAGAGCTACCTGTCTCCACCACCTGAGGATACAACGAGTAGGCGGCCATGTACCAGGAGGTGGCCAGGAATACCGCTCTCACTGATGATACCCCCTCCCGTTCTGGCTTCCTAGATGCACCCCTAACTCTTCTAAGAACACATCATTCTCCTAGTTGTTTGGGCCAGGACAAACTTGCTGTTATCCTGGAGTCTGTTACTCCCTGTGGCAGGTAGGACTTGTGTTCCATAATTTTGCCTTCGGTGCTATGCCTGTGAATATGGTATAGTATCTGGGGAAAGGAATTAAGGCAGCTAATGAGCTGAGCTTAAAACAGGGAGATTATTCTAGATGATCCAAGTGAGCCCATGGCCCTGAAAACACATGCACCTTGGAAGTGGAAGAAGGCGGCAAAAGATTCAGCCAGAGAGACGCAAGGACAGAAAAAGAAACAGGAGAAATTCCAAGCAGGAGACGGACACTTCAGCGCCCCTTCCCGACTCTGAAGATGGAGGAGGGGCTATGACTGATGGAACACGATGGCCCCTGGAGACTGGGAAAGTCAAGGAAAGCGATCCTCCCTTGAAACCTCCACAGAAAGCACTGCGGCCTGATGACACCTGGATTTCAGCCCAGTGGGACCGGTCCTGGATTTCTGACCCTTGGAACTATAAGATGAGGCATTCACACCCTCTTCAACCACGTACTAAAGCAGTGGTCATTCGTTATGGCAGCAGTGTGAACTGATACACTCCGCATCAGCATTTCCTGTCCGCTCTACCCTGAAAGTACATCCCCAATGGACCATTTCTCAGCACACCCTCGCTCCACTTTGGTCCAAGCCACCCATTCGTGCCCAGCTCACTGACAAAGGCTCTAAACCGATTTCTCTGCTTCTCCCTCACGATTCCTCATTAAAGTCAGAGTGCAGCAGCCAGGTTGATTCTGTTAATTCCTATGTGCTACCAGGTCTCTCTTCTGCTCAAGACCCCCCAGTGGCTTCAGAACTCACTGAGCGCAAAAGCCAAAATGCTTTCCCTGACCCTTGTAGTCCCTACCTGCTGGCTTCTTGCTTTCCATCGTCTTCATTTATTTTTCTGTTCCCACCACACTGGTTCCCACCACCCCCCGCCCCGCCCCAGGCTGGGATGCTCCCCCTCATGGCTCTGCACTCACACGAAATGCTCCTCCTCAGATATCCATATGCCCAACTCCCCACCTCCTTCTGGTCTTCCTCCCTCCATATTCCTCGTTGTCCACCATATTGTGTATCTAACTCTACCTCATTATTTATGGTCACACACACTAGACAGTTGGGCATCCCAGAGCCAGATTTTGTCTGCTTCCTTTGCAGTTGCCTGCTGCATAATAAAGACTCAATAAATATTTGATAAATTAATACACTTTTCCTATGAAATACAGCTCCTGAGTTAGTTCTTTGGTTCCTATCCTCACTGCTACTAGCCGAACCCAGCTCACTCTAACACTGACTTGCCATCCCTGGATTCTCAGTCGGTGTCTTTACCCATACTTCTTACCCTTACCCTTCAATCCATCCTACAGGTAAACACCCCTGATTAATATTTGCTAAACGCTATTTGCAGCATGTGAGTTTTCTTCTTTGGAACATACAGTGGCTCCCATTGTGTTCTGCTTCAGGGTGTGAAGTATCCACAATAATCCTATCTCCTGGAAACGAGTTTAGCAGCCGCCCTCTTCACCCCTGCCCCTTTCTGACAAATCTCCATGCCTAGAACTCACGCTGGCAGCTGTTGGCCACACTGCCCAAGTGTGGTTTCAGCTTTCCTTCCTTCAGAGCCCTCGAAAAAACACCTTCTACCACCAACCACTCCCATTCTACCAGACTTCATTTCTACTGATCGTTTTCTACTTTATTACGAGGACTTTTCCCCTCTCTACTGAGATTAGGGGTTTTCTAAAGACAGGATTCATATCTCTTCCTGTTCTTGACCACCCAAGTGACATGCCTACCTCAGCATTAATTCAGATTTTATGTCTTCAATGTCTTCCCCTAATATTATATCTTATAATAAGTGTTACATATTATACATATATTAAATAGTTCCTCTTGTTCTCTGGGTTTATTATTTTACCATTCTTAAGTTTTTTAACCCAAACTGAGGCATTATTTGCCCTGTTGATACTTTACACAAGAGACTTTATAACTTTGCCAAGAAACTTTGTGGTTGCATTCCTTTTAAATCAATATAGGGCTTATGTCTACCTGCATTCTAATTTAGACCTGTTCCAACAACCACTGCTTGGTGAACTTGAACAAACTGCTTCAATTTTTCACTCAACAGCACCGGAAGGTACCAGCACCAGCAGAAGGGCCCAGTGAACCTGGCTGAGAGCGCCAATGCCCCTCGAGGTGCTTCCAGCTCCACAGAGAAGATGGCTGTTACATGAAGAGCTATAAGTGAAATATGAATAACAAAAAAGGAGCTACCTCCTACTCCTCTGGTATTCCTACCCATGAAGGAGACAATAACGAATTTTGCAGCACAATCTCATCCTCAAAGGAAACAATTTCATTGGGGGGAAGAAAAAGGTTCATTAAAAATTGGGGAAATCACATACTTTCCAGGTAGGCAGTTCTTTAAAAAAATATATATACAATAATTTCACCAAAAGTTTGCATTTTGTTCATTTTACTAAGAGACTTGGAGGTCTTAACTGTGTTCATTAGAAAGAGGATTTTCCCTGGACGATTTCAGACCTTCAGTAAAAAGCCCCAAATATTTAGAAGAAATGTTACCCTTCATCTCCCCACCAGGAAACCCACACCGGAAAACGTATGTGCCCTGTACCTTCTTTGTCATCGTGGTGGATAATTGCATCCTGTATCATGTCAGCGAGGTTAAAATGAACTTTTTGATTCTTCCCATGCTTCAGCTTTTTCAGGAACCCTTCCTGCTTCTGAAAAGCCTTCTCTCTTTCATAGTAGGCTTTGATCTGCTCACAGCGCATGCGTTTCACCAGCCGCTGCCGTTGGCCGAGGGGAAGGGACTCCAGCAGGCACTGGTCAATTTCCATCTCATGGGTTCGAAACACGTTACATAGCTGAAAGCAACCTACGAGACACACGGTGAGAAAGTCAGTGGACCCACTGTCACGACAATACAGCAGCACCACAGAGCACGCTTGACTTCCCATTACCCACCCCAGAGGTCAGAAACTCACTCACTCCCCTTTGTGCTTGGCACGCAAGCACACAGGCCAGCTTACAGACCAGGGGAGGAGCGAAGTGAACTGGTGTCACACTCAACATTGCATGGTATAAAACAAATAAGAAAATTAGAGACAGATGTGTGGCTTTGCACAACGCAATTACTGGCAAACCATCCTTACTGTTTTTGTAAAGGCCTAAAAGTTTTACCGATGCATTAAAGCCCCTTCGTTGAATAATGCCAACTAAACTGTGTGTGAAATTCTGGCAGAGAGCCATTCCCAGTCTTTGAGCACAGCCTAATAACACTGGTTTTGTATATCCCGATGACTCTGTGTATCTAATGGAATAGAACCTATGTAGCCTAGCAACTGTTCATGTGACACCCTGGATATTTTCCACCAACATATTGCTAAACACTTTTCTTAGTGATTGGTAATATCCCTTTCTAAGAGACCTAATAATGGGTAAGCAATGAAACAGATTTTTCTCTTGGCAATTCAAAATCGTGGATAGAACTGTTGCCGTTGTGGTCTCTGTCTTATTAACATAGTGATTAACAAAGTGAGCTCTCCATCTTGAAGCTGAAAACCTTCCCTTTCTTTCGCTAGGATATTCCTTATTAATGCCACTCAAAACACCTGTAGCGGAATCGTACAGGCCCGTATGTTTACCACTAGAATAAATGTTACTCTTGGCAGGAAATTAACACTGAAAATTCTAGAATGTAATGCACAGGCTCAGATAAGCGTTGCATGTTCTTCCATTCAGATATCTATGATCTTAAGTCTCAAGCAAGTAAAAGTAGCGATGCGTGCCCCAAAGTGTGGTTGATCATATACTATATCTGGAAAGATCACTCAGAAAGGGGTCTGTTTCTTCGTCTTTGGAGATGTGCCCAATTCCTCTGAAAGGGCACCAAGTTGTGACAGTGCAAATTCCATTTCTGTCTCGCTTGAGGCTTTGCAAAGTGTCATTCTCACAACCGCCAGGCAAGACCATCTCTCTTCTGCAAGTAAGGAAAACGAAGTTGAGCGAGGCTGTGATTTGTCCAAGACCAAAAAGAGGACTCTGTGACAGCCACAAATGTTCCATAAAGGCTCAAGAAAAGGACAGAATAAGAGCCGGGGATTCCCGACAGCCAGATACTTAACATCCATAAGGGGGACAGGGGAGAGGCAGAGTTGGGAAATTTTGTTTTGGTCGTTTTTTAGCATTTGACAACATTTTAGAATCGTATTAATTTCATAGACATCTCCATCTTTGTGAGTATTTGTAAGTGTGGTGTTGGAAAAAACACTATACATAAAGCATTCCCTTTCCAGTGACCTAACCACAGAGAGACAGCAGCAGTTCTGAAATAATGACAAATCACTCTGAAGTCTGTGTGATAAAAGCCAGGATCACCGTCACAAACAGATCCTCTGGGACAGCTCATTAATAACGGCAGGAAAGATTCTCTGCTTTGCAACCTGTAGCGAAAACTGTACGTGGGTTCCCGGGACACTGTGACTCGCGTGACCTTCCTGATTTGTCAGTAGGTGCCCAGGGAATCAGCAGAACCACGGGAAAACCCAGAGGGTCAGACCAGTGACCTCACAGAGTGTTACGTGCTGATCAGCAGGCAGTCGAAGGTGCAGGATGACCCAATAAACACAACAGTCCTCTAGTGTTCCGCTCATGAGAAAAACCTTCCTGTGAAATTTTCAATTAACTCTGAAGGAGTCTGTAGTGTCAGCTCACGATTTATCGAGCAGCCCTCTCGGTCTGTCAGAAAGGAGTGCTGAGGGATGTTCATAAATTAATTCTCTTACGATTCGGAAAATCGGAGGCCAAGGCTGTGAACTTCCACGTCCATCCATGTATAAAATGTTAATTTTTCACATATTTTCTTGTCAAATAATTCCCCATGCTTTGACTTTAAATGGTCTGAACTTTGAGATTTATTTTACGTTCTACAAGCACAGCGGGCATTGTGACTTTCTTTTTGTCTAATTCTGGATGGACCAGCTGCACCATGTATACGTGCTGTAGTCAGTCTGTAAGACACCACACTAAAAATGACATAGTAATGGTAAATGGAGTTTTCAGGCAGTCCACCCAGAACCTGTGGAACTTGGTCACCAGGGCACTAAGAATAACAGTCATTAGCACCTCAGGTGACAGTCTGGGCAGGCCAGGCAGGCAGGGGGGTGTGGCTGAAGAGGAACTACTGTGTCTGAGCTGGACAAGGCTGGCTGGCCTCCCCGGGTGGGGGGTCCCGGGCAGGCACTGGGTCTCAATTCTCCTGTAGCAGAGTTGACCTGGTTCTGCCTGCCCAGCGGCTGGACTGAGTGAGGGCTCTTCCCCGGGAAAGACTTTAATTCTTTCCCACTATTTTGGCGCTCTTCACCCACCAAAGGCTACGCGTGCACTAACACCATTTCCACTTCACACAAACCACCTTCTCACAATAGTACGTGAGCTCCTTAGGATACAGGACACGTGCTGTAGTAAAACAGAACATATTTTCATTGTTGCAGCAGAGACTGACCAGGGAAACCCGTTCTCTTTCCTCCTTGAACACGTAAGTTGACGTCAGTTTTGACCTTCCCAGGGCTGGCTCATAAAAAGGAAAAAAAAAAAGCCCACATGCACTTTAACATGTTCTAAACCTGCTACAGCCTACAGATATGGCAGTGTGGACACCACATAGCAAAGATGGTCCCAGGTAAGGAGCCTCGGTCCCCCCCATGGCTCCCTGGAGCACCTGCCACGAACCAGCCCCTGTCCTAACTTTTCATCTGACAAAGAAATTCACTTCGATTGTAGTTAGGCGCTGCTATTTTGGGTTTTAACTCTTCCAGAAATTAACATCACCCTAGCTAGAGGGTGCCGTGGTTCAGAAGTTTGTTTGGTTTTCTCCGACCGTGTTAAATGGTGATCAAGGGAACATCCAAAGCTCTGCAGAATTTTGAATGACAGGACTGGACCATTGCTACCTACCAAGTGGGGTTCTAGCAAATTTGTAACAGTCAGTAGGGGTGGAGTGGGAATGAAATCGTTGACTTGTCACGTCTGCCTATTACCACGGTGCACAGTTCACAGTCAATTCCAAGCTACCACTGTCGCATTACTGAACAGAGAGATGGGAATACGTACTCTCCCCACCTCAGTGTGGGGGCCAGCTTCCACACAACCACTGAATCAAGCCCACCATGGAGACTCACGGCTTCATTCTTGCATTGGAATCACAAATACTCAGGAAAAGATATTCCAGAAAGACCCCCAAGGTGTAAGAGAAGCAGCATCAAGAACTACCCACATCTCAAGAGAAAATAACTATAACATTAAGCATAACTGTGTGTGTGTGTATGTGTGTGCTACCCATTAAATATATATATATTTCATATATATATATATTTC